TACATTTCAAAAGAAATACGCAATTATGACTGAATACGAGTGCAAAGGGTTAAATCATGATATTTTAAACTTGACAAATTATCTGTCTGCTAAACATTTAAATCGATAATCAAGTATAAAATGCTGCTAATATACATTTAGATACCAAACATATCATAATTTGTCATCTATAGGCTGCATTCACATGACTACCTGTGTGTACGAGTATCCTTAAAGACGACATTCAGGGACCGATTCTAACGCATAACAGACAAATGTTATGGCAATGCCATGTTACGCTCCAACTTTCATACATTATGCTTCTGGATCATACTGAATACTATCATAATATCATGTATTTGCTATGCATTCAGGCGTTTTACACATAAATTGCAATGTCAATCGTATGTTATGAACTTGAGTCAGAAAGACCCTGTTATCTCACATCGTTTTTTGACATTTGTGCGTTTTTAGGTTATGTTTTCTATCTGACAACCTGAGAAAAACGCCTGATTGCACAGCAACCACATGGCTTTTGTCAATATTTAGAACGAATTTGTATGGAAATGTTTTCATAACATAGCCATAACACTGGTCTGTTATGCGGCAGAATCGGTCCCTCGGTGTGTCGCTTCAAGATTTATCACTCTGAGCTAAACTGTGGAGAATTTATTTTTTTATTTAAATTTTTAGTTTCTTGGAAATGTAATTTGTTATATTTAAATCTATTTTTATTGATAATTACAATAATTGAATATTAAAATAAAATATGTCGTTGCGTTCTGTAACGCTTGTAGGCCGCTCGTTGTCCGTACAGCAGTTGATAAATTCATAAAACGTTTGATTTCATATAGTACTGCATTTAAACTTTTAATTTCATGTAATGCTTTTAAAGCAATTGGCAATAACGCATTTTATCAAAAAGATTTTTAATAACAAATAATTAAATTGATATTCATGTGCTGTGCGTGATTTTATACAAACTTGCAATATTTGTTTGAAATTTACTTTAAATATTTACTTTAATCAGTATATATGTGAAAAAAAAATATCTAAAACCGTACAAATTCATATATAAATAAAAAATGAAGGCGAATGTATTAAAATGGGATTAATTCATAAAAAATCAGTATGCTTAAATGAATAATTTGATAATGAGTCTTTACTAATTTGTTTATTTCTTTATTTATTTAACTTTAAATAACTATATAGTTTATTTTGTTGACTGATTAAATATAACTAAATTATGTATTACAGTCTAAATATTGCATTACCTGTTAAAATATGAATTCATTTAAAAAGTCTTTGTCTTATTAGCAAATTTATATGGTATTCAGCCTTTAGGAAAGATGCATGAATTTCGCGGAAGTATAAAATATCAAGTCAATCAATAAGAATTAAATTTAAAATATAAATTAAAAATTAGCACATTTAAAAATGCGAATTTGAAAATTTGTACACTGCCAGTTCTTCCAAATTTTGATGATTTGTAATAATTACTACTTTTAGGAGATTTATAATATATTATTATATTCGCAAGACCATGAACTTTTTCATCATATGAAATTTCATCGAAATGGTCAAAAACATGTTCAACAATTAATTACAAAACGGACCTCCCGATCTTTACCAACACTTTTTAGAAAGTTTTTAAATTTTCCAGAATGCTTCAGGTTTTTTGGAGAAAACGTGGTTTTTTTTTTTTTTTTGCTAATTCTAAAGAATCGGCTCGACCAATCATCTCGCGAAACTAATCAACGTGTATCCTTATATATATATATATATATATATATATATATATATATATATTCCCTTATATCTAAAGACATTTATGGACCGATTCCGCCGTATAACAAACCAATGTTATGGAAAGGCTATGTTATGTAGAACTGTCCATACAAATCGTTCTATATATTGTCAAAATCATGTGGTTTCTGTGCAGTCAGGCGTTTTCTTAGATTGTGAGATAATAAACCTAACCTAGAAACCGCACAAATATAAAAAAACGGTCATAAATAAAAGGGTCTTCCTGACCCAGCTTCAAGACATTCAACGTTGCAGCTTTTGGGTAAAACGCCCGAATGCACAGCAAATACATGACATTTTGACAATATTTAGTATAATTCAGTAGCATAATGTATGCAAATTTGGGCGTAACATGGCCTTGCCATAACATGTGCGCAAACTGGATCTGGCGAATATAAAATAAGTCATTTGAAAAATCTAATAGAAATATAAAATGTAAAGATATCGAATTACTTTTTTTCGGGTAATTTATTGTCACAATTTCAGTAGTTTTCTATTAAACAATTTGCAATTATAATTCCAGTTAATTTTAAATAAATATTATTTTATTTTTAGCATGGTGTTGGGGTCGAGCTGGTACGACTTCTTCCAGAGACACCAGCACCACACATAAACAATGTTTTTGCTGAAAATTTGGGACAAGAAGTTGTAAGTAATTAAATTATCTATTTTTAATATATCAGTACGAGAATATTAAGTCCAACAAATTGATATTATACTTCAGTTTATATTATTGTAATTATTCCACTCTTTTTTTTAAGATGGTGACAATGGATATAGAAACTACTCCAGTAATGCAGATGAAAGCATATAGGCTTAAATCAGGGAAGGTTAGTATTTTGGATTAGTATTTGGTTTTAGTTTGTTTGATATCACTTACGTCTCTTTTAGAATATTTAAAAAAATTGCATTATTTATATCTTGTAGACCGAAACATCACACTACAGAGTCAATGTAAATCGTTTCCGAGGTAGACTCAGTGCCAAAATGGACAGACACCACTTGAAAGGAGAAATCAAACCTGAAGGATGGCCTGATGTAAGAAAATAAACTTTTGGTAATTAAAACCACGATTATTAATTGTATTTTCAATATTCAGGTACGTGTTTCATTAGCACCTATTGGTGCTATAAGGACAGGAGAGGACGAAAATCATCTGCAGGAACTCATTACGTAAGTTTTTTTTATTAAAATAAACAACTACTATATTTTATAAATATATTATCAACGAATAATTGTTTTTTATAATTTAATTTATCGTGTACAATCTGGAGAAATGTGCATTTTTGCTTTGCATGATAATTTGATGCACCAGCATATAATTGCATTCCACTATAAGATAATCAGATTAAATATTATAAACATTTTTTAATTAAATTTATTCTGCGGTCTGTTTATACAAAAACAATAAGCAGATATTGCTTAGAAGATAAATTAGGAAAATAATATTGATTTCGGATTAGTAGATGCACCCAACGGTTTATCTACTAGGAATGTACAAACAAAAAATGATTGTTAGAATTCCTGAAATTTCATATATTTATTTTTAAATATGATAAAATTAAGTTTTTAATAATATTTATATTTTGCATAATATATTTGCAATTTTCATTCTGTATTTGTTGAATATGGTTACTTATTAGTTCAAGCCTTAAATTCTAGAAATATTAGCATGTGTAGAAATTAGCAACAATCTAAATATTTAAAAAAAAAGTAAACAGAAGCAATTAATTGTTACAATTAGAAATTCGAAGTATATTTATCGAAATAATTACTAATATGAGTATCTTGTACTAAAAAAGCAGAATTATGTTCATTTACACAAATAGGATTCAAAATGATAAAAACATTTTCAGAAATTTTTTTAAGCTTATAAATTGTTTATTGTGCAAAATAATAAGATTTTTAGTCTAAAAAGTATGATTTGAAATAATAATATGTGCGGAAAACATAGTCTTGTATTGATTAGGATTTCAAAAATTTAAAAGCATTAAACTTGATAAGAAGTCGCGTTTTGTTTAGCAGTTTTTTTAGACAGCAATATTTTTCTTTTTGTCTACTTTTTTGCAAAACCTGAACCGATTTTGAAAATATAAAATATTCCAAAGGTTCCAAAATTGGATATAGTGCTGATTACTTTAAATGAATGGTCTAAAGTTTAGACATTAACTGTTTAGACTCTAAACAGACATTCTAAAATGTTATTGTCTGACAAAAGTGGTTGAATTATAAAAATTCAATACATTTGAAATAATAAAAATTGCATTGATTAATTTTAAGTGAAAGCGAATAATTTTATTTAAATTGCTAAAGCTCACCGTTTTCGATTAAGTCGATCAGGGCTTCCACTAATGACGTGATCGATTTTTAAGGATTTTTGGACCTACCCTTTTTTTTGGTGATAAGTGGTGATATTTAATGATAACTACCACTTCTCCACCCAACATCACATGTAGGTACATACAAGCTCGTAAAATTCTTGAATTTTTTTTTTAATTTTGGATTTTTTGAAATTTAGGTAAAAAATAAATACACATAAGATCTTACCTTTCTTGATTCTTTCCTTTTTGTGATTTTTTGTCAACCATCCCTTAAAGGTTAATACTCGGCCCATATCTAGAAGTTTATGCAACCTTTGAATGTTTGTTTCTGTAACTGATTTAATGCTATTTTAGGTGTAAGTTCAACATGAATTAATACATTCAATATACTATTATTTTATTATTTTTATTACCAGTGAGATTATAACCAGTGCATTGCGGTGCACGGTTGCTCCTCTCGACTTCAGTGTGTATCCGACTTGTCCAAGGTTCCCAGAAGCTGCCAATAGTACTGGATCACCTTTACAACCTGGTCTTCTAAATTTAGATGGATTGGTAAGTAATGTAAAAGATAAATAATAAATTTCTTGCTCTTAATTTGAATTTATCCATATTTTTTCATACATCATCAATTTTCTTATTTGGTCAAATATTATAATAATGTTTCATGCTTTAATGTCACCATTAAACTTTTTCTTGGTTGGTAACATTTAGCATTAGTTTGAAAGCATTCAAAAAAGTAAGGATTTGTGATACACATTTTCTTAATTATGCTTCATTCTACATGAAACTGAAGCTACCAAATGATACTAATGCAAATAAATTAAAAAATTGTAAATAATGTTATATTTATCCTTTTCCTCTTTTATAGTTGGATGGTAATATCATTAACAGCAATTCCACCACAAATTCTGTTTCGGCCGCCGGAAGGCGTTTGCTGGTGAAAGTGGTTCGTGGTGAGGGTCTTGGAGGACCCGAACCTTCCGCTGGTGCACTTTTAGAACCCTATTGCGTAGTTGAAATGGATGAACCACCTCAGCGCAATCAAACTGGTGTCAGGCAAGGACCAAATCCATTTTGGGATGAACATTTTTTATTGTGAGTATTAGAAATATATATTATAATTGTATTAGAAACCACTCCATATTTGAAACTTTCATAAAAATGATTTATACAATTCTACAAATTTTGTTATCATATAATATTAATTTTGCAACACTATCCATCATAACTTATACACATACAAAGAGAATTTTTTTGCATATAATACTTCAAAAAACTAATATTATAGTTTTAAAATAATTAAGCATTTGTGATTGAGAATTATTCTTTCAAATTAATTCGTTACATTTCAAAATAATATAAATTTTTCTACATATTATTAGCGACATCTCTCCAAACACTGCCGAGTTACTTTTCGAAGTTTACGACCGCCATCCTAGCAAAGATTCTGCTGCCGGAACTAACGGACTTAAACCAGGAGAATCGCCGACGGAACCAGGAATGCCCAAATTTTTGGGATTGGGTCTTGTTGGAGTCGATGAGTTAACGGTGGGTCCAGCCAGTTGCCAAGTTTTGACCTTACAGCCTAAGCCTTATGAGCAGGAAAAAGTTTTTGGAGCTATTACTGTTGAGGTAAGTCGAGGAAAAAGTCTAATTTTGGTATAGTTTACTTTTTTAATTATCGTGGATTTATTGCCTTCTCTTCATATATTATTAGTACTCATAGATATTAGACATTATATGTAGTTTGTAATAACTAGAAATCGTGGATTCAATCTTACTTTAAGAGGTCTAAATTTGATAAAGTATATTGGAACATATATTTATCATCACATACACTAGCCTTTTTTGGTTTAGAAAAGTTAGGAATATGCAGATACAAGTAAAAAGCACTACAAATTTTGTGGAAGTTCAAATTTTATTAGTATATTTTTATGAAAATTTGATAGAGCCAGAAAAACGCTCAAGTATTTTTAAACAAAACATTTTCTGATTTCAAGATTATTATCTTTAAAAATGTATTTAAAAATTTAAAATTCCTAAAAAACTAAAAACAATAACAATTCTCAATTCAATCATTTAACTCAAAATGATAAATGTTGAATCAAAATCAGCCACACTGGATGTCGTCAATAGACGACGCGAACGGGTTAAAGAATTACGTTGTGGTTTTGTATAACTTAAGTTATTAATATGTTTAAAAAAAGCATAAATGCAAAGCAATTGCATTTTAAATAATGTTTTATTACAATAATTTATCTAATTCATGTTACTATTTCAGTTTGTATTCATCGAAGGAGCCGAAGTTCCAGCAGGAAGGAGGCCATATAAATTAAAAGAGGCACTTCATTTGCAAAACAAGAGCCCTACTAGTACTTCTGGTATGCGCTTATCTGAATTATGTACATATGCATTTGTATTTAAAGGTAACAGCTTGGAATTATTAACATCAGAATGTATCACCCCACATTATAATCACATGTATAATCGAGTATTTATTATGTAAAAACACTTCAGAAGTCACAAGAAGTTTGACTTGTTTTTAGTTGTTATTCGTTTAATGGCATTTTTCTGATACTTATGTTTATAGATAAAAAATAAATATTTGATTATTATTGTTTTGTGCACTCAGATATTACAAATAATGTAATATTATGTAAAATTTTATCATCGGCGACCCTCGTAGCAAAAGGATTAATATAGTTTATAAATCAATTGTTTTGAATTTAATAAATATTTTAAAAAATGTGGAAAAATATTTAAATTGCAAAGTATTTAAATCACATTAGAAAAACATCACGTTTTCATGAGCTTATTTCAATACATATTTTTAAAAATTTATAGCCACAATGTTGAAATAAAATTATCTCTTCAGTAGAAACCAAAGAACACACACAGCACATCTTGTGGATGTCGTCCATGGACGACCCTTGTAGCGAAAGGGTTAATATAGTATATAAATCAATCGTTTTGAATTTAATAAATATTTTAAAAAATGTGAAAAAATATTTAAATCGGAAAGTATTTAAATCACATTAAAAAAACATTACGTTTTCATGAGCTGATTTCAAAACATATTTTTAAAATTTCATAGCCACAATGTTGAAATAAAATTTTCTCTTCAGTAGAAACCAAAGAAGTTTTTATTTTTTAACCCACTGAGCGACATTCGTACACACAGCACATCTTGTTGATGTCGTCCATGGACGACCCTCGTAGCGAAAGGGTTAATATAGTATATAAACCAATCCTTTTGAATTTAATTTATATTTGAAAAACGTGATAAAATATTTAAATCGGAAAGTACATGTATTTCCTATATTTCCAATTTAGTTGTTGAACTTTTATGCAGAACCAGCATTGTAGGTAATTAAAAAACCCAATCATACCACTGGATTATTATGACAAACAGTGGATTTCTTACACTATAAAACATGTTTTTATATTAGCAAATAGCATTTGTATAATCATCCTATGACCTCAAATCATTTTGCTCATGAAGTTTTGTTCTGTGCTATTGATTGTCTTAATCATAATTTTAAAAATTTGCTTTTATTAAAATGCTTTGAATTGCACGTCATTTAAAACTTTTTGTCCACTTTAAGCATTTGCACAAATTTTTGGCACAAGAGTAGTGTAGAACACTTTTTCTATAATGCCTTGTTAGTTTATAGAAGTCTGATTTGTTTTTAAATTGCTTCACTAAAAGTATATGTACTTTCTTAGCTGGTAGATAAATTAGATTTAGTTCAGTTTGATGATTTATTTAAAAACTATTTCTAAATGTGTTTTTAATGAAGCTTGTTAAAAATATGCTTTAGCTCATTACTTGAAATAAGACATGCAAATTTTGATATCGTTTCCTAGTCAGACAAATCTTGTCTAGATTTTTTCTATGGTTGCAGTTGTCTTTTGCATGAGTGACTTCTATTGCTATTAATATCTATAATTTATTCATCTATAATTTCTATTACTATTTTTGTATTTTATTTTTTTGCAGGTTCTCCAACAAATGCTGTGGATTTAGCTGATTCAGCCATACGTGCTATAGAATCAGGAGTTACGGCTGGTCCTAATGTTAATAAAAGCACTCTTATTATTCACAGCGTTCAGAGAGTAAGTTATAAAGATTTTATATGTTTGGATTTTTGGATTGTGTTTTTGTATAATAATATTAACATATAAAGCAAATCATTTAGTTCTTTAATTATAGATTCATGGTTTGCGCATCGTTTTCCATTCTATTGCAGAAACGTTTGGAAGTTTATATAAAAATTATTTTTATTGAATAGAATACTTAACTGCTCATCTAGAAATCAAAGTAGAAAGCAGTTTCATTTTTTTTTCAATTCATATTCTAATTAAAATAATGCCACATCAGCATATAAGCGAAGCAGGGTCTAATGTACCAAAATGATCATGTTGATCCAAAATGATTAGTTTATTCATCATATGCTTATGAATATGTTGATTAAGTTCTTGGTTTTACTCTTTAGAACTTTATATATTTGCTTTTCAAGAATATTTAGATTAGTTGAGTCGAAAATTGTCGAAAATGGTTGCCAAAGAGTTGCCAATAATATGTTTATAGAAACTTTTTGGAAAGTGAATGGTAATCTTCAACTTTAATAGTTACTACTACTTTACTAACAAATTAACGAAGCATTTATACGACCTTTTAGTTCTAATTAGTAACCCAGTATACCACAAAAGTTAAAATAACGTAGCACAACAGAAACGTCGTTACGTAGTTGATGCTAATGCTAATAAAATAATTTAATACTTAAAAAAATACTTTAATAGTAATTACTTTATTAACTAAAAAACGAAGCATTTATACGACCTTTCTGTTATAATTGGTAATCCATTAAACCACCAAAGTTAAAATAGGGTACCAAAGAAGAAACGTCGTTACGAAGTTGATGGTTATGTTAATAAAACGTACATATTACGTATAGATGTAACCTTTTATCGGCTTCAACGTAGATACTTCGGTTTTGTTCGTTACGTGGCAGCTACGTTATAAATTGGAAGCATCTTGGTAGCATATATTAGCATAACCATCAACTTCGTAACGGCGTTTCTTCTGTGCTACGTTATTTTAACTTTTGTGGTTTACTGGGTTGTTAATTAGAACAAAAAGGTCATATAAATGCTTCGTTTATTAGTTAGTAAAGTAATTACTATTAAAGTTGCAGATTACCATTCACTTACAAAAAGTTTGTATAAACTTATATCATTGGCAACTCTTTGGCAACCATTGTCGACCATTTTCGACTCAACTAATCTAATTATTGTTTCTTGAAAGTAGCAAATAGATAAAGTTCTAAAAAGTAAAACCAAGAACTTAATCATCATGTTCATCACTTCTCGGGTCTTTAACGAAAGACCATTAGTGATATTAGCGAAAAATTTTGATACTTTTCCTTTTCATAAATGTGATTCTTGTATACTAAAAGCAAGAATCCTTAATATTTTTGTCTAAAATAACTTTTACTTGAGTTATTTTTGTTCAATATAAAATAACATTTATTCTAACATTATATTAATATTTAACCCTTTCGCTACTCGTGTGTTTTTTGAAGGAGTGACACTGCTTTACGAGCGAGCAAGCGGCACAAGTTTTTGTTTTATAACATATATTAATAATTTTCAAGCTTTACCCAAGAAAATTTATTTAAAAATTAAATATTATATTTCTGAAGAATTAAAACTTAAATAATGATTAAGAATAATTTAACTCACAATTTGATATATAAATCGTGAAGTTAAAGTTGAAATATTGGATGTCGCCTATAGACGACGCTCGTGGCGAAAGGGTTAATATTATAATATATTCGCTGCTTTTCTTTTGAATTATTAACTAATATAAAATACTATTGAAATGGAACTTCAATAAGTAAGTAATGAATGTTGATCATTTTGCATTGAGATTCATGCTTTTGTTTGTTTCCTTTTCATAGCAGCAGTCACAAAGGCAAAAAACACTGAAGGTAATTATGCTTATTTTTATTAATAAAATTTGCTAATATTATATCATTAAAAAAATACATTAATAAAAGTATACCTGACTGAATTTTATAAACTACACTTATATAATATATCATTTAAAAAAAGAAAAAATTGGATTATTTACTGTAATCAGATTTATACTATTAAAAATTAATTTCTGTTTTTGATAGATAAATGCTTTATAAATACTACTGAATACTTCGAACAGTTTTGCATCTTTGCTATATATATAAGCCTTAGTCCTTGATTCTTATGTAGTCAGAAGGATAAATGCCTTCCTGTCTATATTCTTGTATACATAGAAAAAAAAGTTGCATTTCAAATTTTTTTAGATTTTACCATCAAATATTTCGAACATTTTTTGAGTGTCTGGCGACTTTGAATATATATTTTAATTTTTTTCATTCATTTTTCTAATCAACTAACATTAAAAGGGTTGTCATAGCCTATAAAAATTTCATTAAAATTTGCTGCTTCAAAGATGAGAATGTATTTTATTTTTGTTTGTGTTTGTGATATTTGCATGGCTAGGTTGAAATGACCGAAGAAGGCAGTTTTATTGAAGTTGAACCTAAAATTGAGCTCACCACATCAACTCCTGAAAATCATGTGGAAAATGGTACAGCTATTACTCAAGAGACTGTAATAGCACAAAATGTTGAAGTCAAGGTTGGTTTTTAATTGATTTTTGTTTGTTCTAATTTTGAATAAGAATTAAAACTTGTGTAGCTAATTTTCATGATATTGAGTGTATATTGTCTTAACAATTTGCTTTTTGGCATTTTATCGATAGTTTAAGTAGCTTATATCAGCTTAGTTTAAACCAATGTGATCCAAAGTTCATTTCTCTAAGTCATTTATTCACTCTATGCTCTTTCTGTACTGTTTGAGTTTATCATAAATACTCAATTTGATTTTCCCAATTTTTTTAATCACTTTATAGCCAGAAACAAACCATACTAATGGAACAACACCTACTACACCAGATAGCACTATGGTCAACGATGACAGAGGTCGAGGCCGGAGGAAGAGGGACTTCTTTGGAACGATCAAGAGGAGGTATTTTAAAAATTACTTAAACGTATTTTTTACACATAATAATAAACCATTTTATGGTAATTTAACTTTTGTGTTTTTTAGACATCATCAACGACTACTTGAATCTCCTTTGTTAGTTACAAGGAATTGATTTGTATCTAAACCTGATAAAAAACCAAAGATATCTAATAGCTCAAAAATTAATTTATAATTTTGATTGTATAGATTTTAGCTATAGACATAGCATGATGTTTTTGCTTTTGATATTATTTATTAATTATTTATCATAAATTAATATTTTTCTAGATTGGGTAGATCAAAGAACCGATCTAAATCTATGGACCGGGCAATGGCGATTGGAGCTGAAGCAGAACCAGGAATTGAATCCAGGTCCATAAGTGCAGATAGAGGACAACTTAATACCAGTTCACCAGGTAAGGCCATTGTTTTACAATAACATTTTTTTATTCAAAAATTAAGGTAAATACTCGGTGGATAATAGAAACATAAACGAAATTGATGGATTGAAATTGATCTTCATTAGAAATATTGATAATATTTTATAATACTGGAGATAATAGAGAAAATATTATAAATTTGAACTGCATTGATGATATCTTAATATTGCTATTTTGATATTACACGTCTGCTAAAGAACTATTTAATAGATTGGAATTATGCGGCCAGTTTTAACTATTTTGCTGATGTTATATTATTAAAACATTACAATTATCATCTGAATTGATTCTAGTAATAATACTGCTAAATACATACGATTAATAAAAATGCAATAGCAAATTATTATTGATATTAGTATCACAAAAATTGACCAGGTCACCCAAACAAATATTTAAACGAATTTAAGTGGGGAATATCCTACTTGAAGATTTAAAAAATGGCCATACAATCTTAAATAAAATGTCAATAAAAAGGAGATACCTCATATCTCAAATCTTTACAGACATAAAGGCCAGCATATTGTCTTAAAAAAATGTATATTTTGATTGTCAATAAATATATGCAAAAAAGTACAGAAAATATGAAAAATTATAAAAGTGTTAAAATACATCTTAATTCAGTACATCAATTGTCGATTTATGTAGATATTTTCTTCTCGATCTATCCACTGAATATTTTTGGCATACTTGGCGTAGCATGATGTTTCAGGCACAATAGCAAAGCAAACCCACCATTCCTAATTTTTGTGCAATCTTTTGAAAATATTCTAATTTATAAATTTATAAATGATTTTTTTGGAAAATGCAATTGCAATGTATTATGAACTATATTGAAAAATAAATATAGAAGCTATTTAATAGTATTAAAAAGTACTATTGTAAAATGTTAAAGATTTGTCCCTGGTGGGTTGAGCCTGAACACTATGTTTACCCTTGAAAGTATATTTGTTTTATATATATATATATATATATATATAATATAATATTTAAATTTATAACTATGTCATGATGTTTTTTATACATTTTATTTTGAATACGTTTTTAGATAGGGAATGGTTTGTGAATGGTTTTTATACAAAAATAAATAAATACATCACGCTAAATATAATTCGTAATTAACTCTTTTGCTACAAGAGTCACTTATAGACGGCATCCGCTTGACGACCTGTGTGTACGGATGTCGACTATAGAAGACATTTAGTGTGTCACCCTTTGTTTCAAGATTTATCACTCTGAAAAATACTGTCTTGAGATAAATTCTTGAGCAATTTATTTTTTATTTAAATTTTTAATTCCTTAAAAGTGTAATATTCAATTTTAATTACATTTTTTTGATGTTAACTGAAAAACCTTAATATATGTTGTGTCTGATCTATTCAAAAGCGCTACTTGGCCGATTGCTGTTTTGTACAGCAGTGTCACTACTGCGTAAATCACTTTCGTAGCAAAAGAGTTAATATTTTGATAGTGATAAATTTAATTTTATATTTTCATTCACACAAATTATATTTTTATTCAGGTGTGATGTATTTATTTTTTGTGTTTTCTTGAAGTTTTGAATCTGCAGCTACTGGCTTGTGTTTTTTGGCTAACAAATTGTTTGAGCTTTTAAGGGCAAAATTTTTATGCAATTTTTTCTTTGATGATTTTTGGAACTGCTGCCTGTTGCCTTGGTGCAATATATTCATTCTCAGAAATATATTAGCATTAGTATCAAATGCTTTAAAATATTTGATTAAGTTTAATATTATTAAGAATTAATTGAGAAATTTATTAGAGCATTGTAAGATTGTGCATTCATAATTTTGATTTTTTCTGTATTTTTTATACAAACGTATTTTTTGAAAAGAAATTGATATTAAAATTGGCTGCAATGCGAAAACCTAGATTAAGAATTTGAATTTCTTAGGGAAGACATCAATTATATTTTTGAAATTGACAATATAGGTGGCAACATTTTTGAGTAAATATATAAAATTATCATTAATAACTGGGGGAAAATTATGCAGAAAAAAGTTTGAGATTAAACTGGTACTCCATGAAAGTACGATTGAAATCTCTCCTAAAATTTTTCTACAGAAAACTTTACTGAATTTTTGCTAAGATTATTTGAAAAGTGTATACTTGATCATTAGTTGTCATACCATTTCATTATAAATAAATTCTTGAGGTTTCAGGAAACTGTAATATATAGTTCAATACTCATATTAGTTAGAAAGTCAATATCTAAACCGTAGATTTTTGTGATTCATTTACCTACTCCATCATCAGTAGTTAGATTGTCAACATTGCAATGACAACATGTTGTCATTGTCTTCAACCACAGGTTTAGTAGTAAGAGCTTTGGCCTTGAACCAAAGGGTTGCCAGATCCTGGACAACTTGATATCGAACAATATTGACATCAGTTAATAAAGCAATATCACAACTAGAAAAGACAATCAATTGAGTTGTCATTGACTGAGCTCTGCTATCCTCATACATTTTTCATGAATTGTTCGTGGCTTAGTAGTAAGAGCTTTGGCTTTGAACCAAAGAGTTCCGGGTTCAATTTTCGCCTCCGACAACTTGATATCATCAATATTGACAGAAGTTGATCAAATGAAAATAGTCTTTCAAAGCATTGCTGCAATATCACAACTAGAAAAGGCGACCAATTGAGTTGTCATTTCCTCAGCTATTATTATACATTTTACATGAATTTTTCGTGGTTTAGCAGTAAGAGCTTTCATCTTGCAACCAAAGGGTTCAATTCCCACCCTTGACAATTTGTATTTCAAATCATTCTTGCAATATCACAACTAGAAAAGATGACCAATGGAGTTGTCATTGACTTGGGCTGATCTATCCTTATACATTTTACATGAATTATTCGTGGCTTAAAAGTAAAAGCTTTGGCTTTGCAACCAAAGAGTTTAATTCCCGCCGCGGACGACTTGATATCATCAATTTTGACATCAGTTAAGTGAAAATAGTCTTCCAAAGCATTGCTCCAATATCACAACAAGAAGAGCCGACCAATTGAGTTGTCATTGACTTAGGTCCGGCTATCCTCATACATTTTACATAAATTATTCGTAGCTTAGTAGTAAGAGCTTTGGCCTTGCAAACAAATGGTTCAACTCCCATCAACTTTAGGGAAGAATAAGGGACTAATCAGATAAATTATACGTAAACTTTTGATTATATATATATATTTATATAATTTTATTTTTTATCGTATTTTTGTTTACTTCAATGCTTTTTTGAGGTTATTTTTCTATATACTTTATGAATGCAATATAATTATTTTTTATAGCCAAATTAAGCATTTCAAATATGAATTTGCTTTGGGAAATAGGAATTTATATTTTCATGGAGAGCAATAGTCCTAGTTTAAAATTCTGCTTCTTACTTCTTAATAATAATAATACAAAATTAAGTAAATTTAAATATATTTATTCCATATTTTCAAAATTATTTAGGATTTATAGTTTTACACAAGCTAGTGGTTGAGCTATGCATGGGGAAGAAAACGCAGTGCACATTTATTTTATAAATTGGATTTCGAAATTTTGTTATGAAATTTTGAGCTGCAATATGAAATTTGAAAGTCAAAGGCATAATTTGAAATCATATATCTGCATGCACATATTGGTTTCCATAAAATTCATGCTCTATATTTGCGTTCTACAATTTTGTAATCATTTCTTCTATCATAATTGGTCATTTATTTTAGTCTTGGGTTGTCATTTTCAATTTTTTTACCGCAAGTTCATACAGCACTTTCGCCTCTGGATTAAGCTTTTTTTAAATATATTTATTACAATGAGTTTTTTTTTACTATAAGCAATATTACTCTTGTATACCTACTTATAGTTTGAATTTGCATTTTTGATTGATTTTTAGCTTCTGGCTAATATCCTCATTTGAGATTTATTTGTCTTAACAGTTTGCTTGAACTTTATCATATTATATCATAAGCATGCTTTTTTCATCTCCATATTTTTTATGTGTCATATATAACATTATTTTTTGTGTTCATAATTTAGTAATTGTCTCATAAAATTTTTACTAATTGTTTTCCACAATTGATCATCTTAACCAAGTCCCAATTGTAAGATGAGAAAAATTTATTATAGATGCATAAAAAATTATGTTAATTTGATTTATTAGTATTGTGAGGTAAAATGAAATAATGATGATCTATCTTTGCCAGTAAAAAAACGGTTAAATTAATACCAACAAAATCCAAATCTTCAATTAACTTGTATCTAACGTTCATCAAGAAAAATCTCAGATACAAACAATATCTGTATATGTACCCCTAAAATATTTTAAACTTTTATCATTTATTATTCTAAATTTCTCTTCATGAATGATATAAAAATAATCGATTTAAGGTAAATGTTTTACATAAGTATACGTATTACTTAGATATGTAAACATTTTTAAATTGAATATTAAAATCAGATTTTAAAATCTGACTTGCAGAATTAATTTATTTGGTTATATACGTGGTTGGAAGTTTTTTTTAAAATCACAAAACAATAGTGAAACTTACAGAATTGTACTTACAGAAACTGAAAATGTTGTTAGGTATTTAAAAAAAAATAAATAAAATTCATAAGTCAATAACTTCTGAACTTTTTGTACCTGTCTCTCCGTTTTTGAAAAAATGTTTTGCTTTTTTATTATTTCTAACGATCTAATTTTATAAATATTTAATTCATAATTTATTTACTAGCTACAAAAAAAAACATTACAATGTTTTTTACAAAGGTACATTGCACCTACTTATTTATTTACCTACAATTTATTGGAAAGCAACTAGACTTTTTTGGTTTATATTCAAAAATGGAATTTTGGAAACAGCAATGGTAACTTCTTGCTAAAGTAAAATTCTTGGTAATTTTTCATTTGATTCATGATTATGATTTGTTTTATATGTTTTTTTCACCTTTTGATAAAGTTATTTAAGATGATAGAGGTACTTAAGATATATGAAAGAATAGTAGCTATGTAAGATACATAAAAAATCGTTATTTTGTAGATTTGTCCTAATTACCATAAATAATTTCCATTTTTCATCAATACAATAACGCGAAGGGTTTTTTGGCGAAGGTAGACATTAGGGTGTTCATTAATATGGACATTTTTGAATTTCCTTGCTCCCAGGGGCTCAAATGCTTCCCAAATTGATAAAAAAAATACTTTATAAGTTTTAGCTCTTAATATTGTCTCTTATTATTAGATAGTGCGCAATTCAATCACAGTTTTGTATGGAAATATAATGAGAAAAATTTCAAAAATTTTAAAAATGTTTTTTAGATATAACTTAGCGAACAAATGAATGAGTTTTATTCAAAACAAATGATAAAAAACCTGTTTTGCAGAGCATCGAGTTTTCAATAAAAGATGACACGAATTGTCATATTTAATTCATTTGTTGCTAAGTTATACCTAAAAAAAATTTTTTTTATTTTTCCAAAATTTTTCCATGCTATTTCCATACGAAGTTTGATTGAATTGCGCTCTATCTAAAAGACAATATTTAGAGCTAAAACTTTCAGAGAAATGTTTTTTATCAATTTGGAAGTATTTGAGCCCCTGGGAGCAAGGAAACTCGAAAATGTCCATATTAAGGACCACCCTAGTAGACATATGTTTCCTTTACTCATAACTACTTCAATGCATTATTTCATTTAATTTTATAAATTTTCGACGCTAATAAATTATATTCACCTATTCTTAACATTAGTATTATTTACACCTACAAATATAAATTATAGTCATAATTAACAATAATATGTACCAAGCAATATGTTTCGTCTATAACTAATTTGAGAATTCCAATTTGAGCATGAAAATTCATAATATTGAAAACTTGAATTATTAACAGCATTATATTGAATCATACTTCTATTATCTAAGTGATTTTGTAATTTTGCATTTCTTTTTAAATTTGACTAATTTCGAAATAAGTCAAAAGGTTATTGCAAACTCGAACCTTTTAAATTTGTTTTGTGTGCTGCGTTTTCCTGTTTGGGTAATTTTATCCAAAAAGTGTGTTTGGATTATTCTGATATTTAGGAACCCATCTCGGGTTGGGTCGCTTGTCAGTGCCCCAAGATTCATCAAGAAGGTCTTCAATCTCAGAAGGTTCAGCCATTTCTGGAACCTCCGTCAGGACATACGTAAACGAGGCTTCCACTTTGGTTCTGGAGACTTTGGAGAATGGAGTTAGAAGACACTTCTTGGTTCCAGTAGCCGTTGCCCAGAGACCCAGATGGAGGCGCAAAGGAACCAAGTTGCATATTTATAATGATCATACATTTGTAGCCAAACATTTGAGTGGGTAAGTAGAACTATAATCATAAACGTAATATGAAATTTTGAGTAATAATAGTTATTAAAATTAGACCATATTTTACAAACTCGTTCTATTTTTTTTTTGAAAGTACCTATTAGCATTTCGACACACAATAGTAATATAGATGAAAGTTGGAACATCAAAAGAAATAAAATACATATTTAACCAATCTATAACATATTTCTTTGGTTTTATTCATTATGTAGACATGAAGATTTTTTAAATCTATGATGCCAATTGTGTTCATGTTTGAAAAAGTTGGTATATTTTTTAGGGCCATTTTTAATCAGTTTATTTAATCTTGGATTTTTTTTTCTGTGAAAATAATTATATAACTACATGAAATATGAAAGCTTTTTTTAAAATATGGTAATTAAATTAAACACTATCAACTATAATTACAAAAAAATTATATATTTAAAGTTAACATGTAATTTGTTTTGTTTCATGTATTTGTAAATTAAATATTTGTGAAATATACGAAAAGTGTTTAAATTGTCGAAAATAAATGGAAAACGTTGATGGCCTTTTCTGACCAAAATTAAAAAGCCAAGGAAAATATTATTTTGAAACCATTAAGTAATATTGATATTTCTAATTATAACTGTTTTCTATAATTTTTCTTTAATATACAATTAAGTGTTTATATAATTTATCTAAACTTTGTTTCAGTGGTCAACTGTGCACCATTTGCCAAAGGTCCATACCGAGAAGACCAGGAAAACAAGGTTAGAACACAACTTTTTATTATTAATATAATAATTTATAATAAATATATTTGTTCAAAATGATTAAAGCATACTTATATATATATATATATATATATATATATATATATATTCCAATTATTCGTTTATTTTTCAAATTTTAATACAAAATGTTGCATTATCTTATAAGATATAATGTTTATTGGTAGTGAAACTGTGAAAATATATATCTATTTGCTGTGCAATCAGGTGTATTTTACATATAAAGAAGCAAGGAAAAATGTTATGATAACACCATCTTCAAAGATGCTAATTGATTTATAAAAACTCTATTATTTATCGTTGTTGTTTTTCATTTTATGTTGTCATTGGCTTTTCATTAATTTTAAGAAAAATATAATTCGATATAGTTTTGATTTGTGTGTTTTTTTATATTTTAGCCACAAATGTGTTAAAAAATTTAAGCACTAAGAGGTGCAGTAACTTGTAAGATTTTCATGTATTGATCCCATTTGAAATACAAGGTCCTTAGTTGGTTTAATTATAACACAGGTCCACAAAATAAAAAAAGTTATCATATGTGCGTATTAAGTCTCTCCTTCGATTTACTCGGGTCGTTATGTTATATAATTTAACCTTTGTATCTGTGAACTGTATGAAACACTGATTTGTTGGTATAATTTATGTATTTGTTGCAAGTTCTTATAACACCAACGATTTGTCACTAAGTTCTGATTGAGAAGATATATTTATTGATTATTTATTGCATTTGTTCTTACGGGGAGATAAGTCCGATCGAAATTCGCTACCGCCTCTACAGGGTAGAAACCATCCGGTGTAAAAGCTCAATGCCATGAAGATTGTCGCATTCATGGCCAATGTAATAAAATAAAAATACGTCCGAATATTGTCTTTATTGGATGTGCGGCATTTACTTTCCAATGTAGTTTTTTTCCGCTGAACACGAATCTGAAGTCAAAATTAGGGGTCAAATGGCAAAAAATTGCAAAAAAATAAAAGATGACAAAATCTCTGATCTAATAATTCTTCTGTTATTCTTCTAGTAATTTTTTTTTGTCACAAACAACTCTTTTTATTTAGTGGACCTGTCTAATTACTAACAAAACATATATTATATTTTTTCTTAGTTTTTTATACTGTTGTTTGAAATATAAACTGAATTTGTTTTTATTCTCAATATCAGGTTACGAATGCCGTGATTGTAATCTGAGGTGCCACAAACAATGCCACGTGAAGGCACCACAACTGTGTCCAAACCCCACAGTTTTGTCGATCGAATTGTAAGTACATTTATTGTTTTTATATTCTTATTTATTGTTTTTATATACAGACATAGATGTGTTAAAATTGCACACTTTGATTTGCACAATATTTGCAATGTGAATAAAGCGATACCCTGTTCTGACTTGTTTAAAATTTATTGAAAGGCTGGAAAACACTGCTCTAAGCAGTACGATACGAAAAGGCTTAGAATTTTTTCTGACACTCATTATAATTTAACGACTTTGGAAGCTGTTTAACTTATTCCACATAATTTAGTCTTTGATTATTGAACTTTTGCAAGCAATTCAAAGTTATCAAACTGTAAGAAAACAAAATATCGGTAACCTTTCTTTATCAATAAAGTATATAGTAAAAGTACTTGATATAGCTTGATTCAGATGTTGATTTCTTAGGGCAAATGCATTTTCTTTATAGGAAAGTCTTGATTCGACAAATAACATTCTATTACTTAAACTTTGTAGGAAAATCTACTAGCGTAAAATCCTTTCATTTTTTAAATGTTAGTTATTATTATAACAATCATAATAATTATTACAATATTTGCATTGGTTTATCATAATTGCACTATTTTCTCCTTCCGTCCATTAACCTATTTATCAAGTTAGTTGATTTTAAAATATGTAAAAATTGCGTTCGAATAATTTAAACAAATACGATATCTTATGCCATTAATATTTTATTACCTACTCGTGAACTAGTTTAATGTTAATGTACATTTTACCATTACATAAATATTCATATGTTATATGAATAAGATATTAAGTTATGATACACTTACCTGTATGGTAAGTATATTCCTGATTGCCGTCATTCACGGCCAAAGATTGTCATAGTTAGAAATATGATCCCCTTACTATTCAATAAATTATACTTTCACATTTGAACACAATCTCATTGTTATGTATCTTTGAAGTAATATTTTTGTGTTTTCTGGAAAATACACAATGGCATTATTTTGACTCGTATACTTAAAAGGTCATAAAACTGCCTGTGAGACGAGAAAGCGACCGCTTCCTTCCCAAACGAGTTAATAGATGATTGATACTAATATAACAAATTTTCTTATACAAAATAAATATTTCATTTGTACTAGAAGTAAATAAATTCTTGAACAAGTCAGAAGAGGGTAAATCCATTTAGTTCATCAAATGTAAATTGTAGTTCACTGAAGCATTTAATAATTTTCCACAAATTTAAATCAAATATCTAATTTATTTTTTCTTTTTCCCGTAAACTGGTCTCTACTGCCCGTGTTGAGCGAATGAGATGGGTTGTGGAATCTTCAAATAAAAGAATTAATATAATATAAAATAAAGATTACCATAAAAATTTTATTTAAATTATTTATTAATATATAATATTTCGATCAAATCTAAAATTCGAATTCGTTCATAACCACAGCAAATATTCTCTAAAAATAATATTTATGAAATATTTTAAATAGATAAGTACATAATAATATTTTTATTGTTAAACGACTGTTAAAATTGTTGATTTTATTTATTTGGTTAATATTACGCTTAAACTATAAAACGTGCCTATAAAATTTTGTATAACATTTTAAAATATTATTGCGCAAAAATTAAGTATTTTCTATTCAATCGTCCAAGAATGATTATAACTTATAAAAAATTATTACGATAATATATATTAAGAAGTAGCAATGTGCTTAAAAAAATGATAATGCCAATTTTTAATAATAAAAATTATATTGCACTGAATTAATAATTAAACAAATTATGCATTAAAAGATTATATTTTTTATTTATAAATTGATTAAAAAATATTTATAAATCCGTTCAAACTAAAGTGTCTTCCTACTTCGGAACAAAACGCGAATTTTTCTAATGGTAAGAGAGCTGAGCACGGTTTTTGAATAAGCTTTTTTGTTTTTGTGTTTTGTTTTATATTATTTATGTTTTTTAGCCTTACAGCTGCAATTAGATAAAAGATGAGCTTATGTATAAGCGTTATGCATTTTGTTTGATATTGATTTTTATTTTGGTTTATTGTTCATAGCAAACTATACACATTACAATATTATAAGCAAACTATATTCATTTTTTAGTGCTAAATGTACCTGTATTTATACTAAATACCTGTATTTAGTGCTAAATGTATCTGTTAATTACTGAGTATTAGAAGGAGTGCAAAAATAACCAGAAAAAAACAATATTATGGCAAGGCCATGTCACGCTCCAACTTCCATACATTATGTTACTGAATCATACTGAATACTGTCAAAATGTCATGTATTTGCTATGCATTCAGGCGTTTTACACATAAACTGCAATGTCACTCATATGTTATGAAGCTGGGTCAGAAAGAACCTGTTATCTAAGATTGTTTTTTTGACATTTGTGCGGTTTCTAGGTTATGTTTTCTATCTGACAACCCTCGAAAATTGCCTGACTGCATAGCAACATATGGCTTTTGTCAACATTTGTCTGTTAATTGGCAGAATCCATTAGTTAGAGAAATAACATCGATTTTTTTTTTGATTTTGAATGTAAACAAGATGATGAATATTTTGCCTATGGCAAGTGCTATTTTTCAAAGAATCGTTTCGATGAAAATTTAATTCGATTATCTAAGATCGTATATCCTAAATACCATTCGATGATCTACAATGTACTTTTTGAGGGTCAACTTAAATTGTTTATGATAGACTAGGGCGGGGTACAAAGGTCCACTTTGACTTTGAGCAATTATTGTGAAAACCAAACCAATAATATTAGAACAAACAACACATATCAAACAAACATGATTATTTTATTGATTATTTTCAAAACTCCCAGCTAATTCACCATTGTAGAAATGTGTTTTTTTGCTGTTTTTCTAAAATTTGTCTTCTGGCCATGGGGCAAATAGGTCCAATATCCTATTTGCAATTTTAAAGAGATTTTTACAAAATATTAGCTAATTATTCATGCAATGTGAAATATAAATTTCATAAGTACAATTTTTACAGAGATTACTCTGTATATAACCTTGATCTGGTATTTTGTCACAAATATTTATCAGCTGAGTTGGAATAACTATTATTTGATTTATCTCTTGTAATACTGCATTCTTAAACTTAATTTATTTTTTATTCAAAATGTTATTGTTAACACCTCAAGGTATTGTTAACACGCCAAGGTAAAGGTTCAGTTGGTTCTTTAGGCCCCTCTCTACCCTACTGACAGTTACGGTATTAAATTCAAATTCGTAAAAGTTTTTTTTTAACAAAACTAAATAATAAATATATTTATTAATCAAATTCGTCCATTCAACAACTTTGATATCATATTGCAAAAGAAAACTTTTCAAACTAATTGTTTTGTAACTGAGTAGAGCAGCTCCTAATTATTATTATTACATTGTCCGGAACAAAACAAAGTACTCATATGTAACATTGACTAATTGTTTTCGTAATATTACCCAGGTGTATGTCTTAAATTTAAAATAACATCACAATATTCTGGTTAGACGCAATTAACGTGTGTCATTAGCACCTTTTTATTACGCAGAGGTCATGGTCACAATTTAAGGAGCACCTTCTTAGTTAATAATAATACTTCACTAAAGTGTAGGAAAACAGTTTTTCAGAAAACTAAGATAATAAGATCTACTTTTAAAAAAATCTAAAAATCCAATTTTTTTCGACTTGCGTATAGAAATTATTCTTGATTCTTATTTTTTTTTTGAAAGATTAGAGAATTGTTACTTTTAGATATTGAAATTAAATGCTATTCTCCTAAAAAATGCCGAAGAAATTTATGTCTAGACTCTTACTATAGATTAAATTCAATTCAATAGTTGAAATTCGTATTGAATGAACAAATCCATGTAGCTTAATATGATAATTTTCATAGCTACTTGTATAATTGTGAAAATACCAATCATTTCTCTTAAGGAAATAGTTGAATAAAATTAGAATATTTTTAAAGAATGGCTTAATATTTTATTACGAAAAAACGATGACCAATTTAAGTTAAAAAAATTTGCATGATAAAGTTTCATAGGAAACCTATTTGAAATTAAACTATTATTAAGTATATCACATTAGCTGTATTTTTTATCAATTTGTAATCTTTTTTTACCAAAGAATCACCTGGTTATAGGCATGTGCACAATTATTCCTTTGAATGAAGACGATATTCTACAAATTAACATTTATATTTCATTATAAAGATGCACAAACCATATATTAATGAAATCTTAGAATGCAATTAATAACAATATAAAGGAACGAAAATAAACGTAAAAAATCTCAAAGATAGAGCAACAAAATAATTATTTGAAATTGAGTAAAGAAATATTTTCTCTGGTACGTTTAGCACTAAAAAAACATTTCACTTCATGTGTAGATTTTACTTTTTCAATCATTTCAAGATTGAAATGACTTCCAGAAATATTTTACTTGAAATATGTATATTTTACAAAACTGATCGATATATATATATATATATATATATATATATATATAGGGCGGTCAATTTAAATTTAAAGGTCACTTAGGCACATATGATTTTCGGATTCTAGGGATCAAAATAAGATACTTTGCTGAATAAACCATACCTCTAAAATGAACTCTAATGTCCGGTGCATTGACCCAAAGATAAGGGTTAAATTTAAAAAAAGAACCTCTTATTAAGGTTTCCAGGGGGTGAACCACAGGCTTGGGTGGATCCACCTTCCACTGGGCCAAAACGGAATATTTCAAATTTTAACCCTAATTTTTGGGACAATGCACGGTACATCAGAATTCATTTTAGATGTATGGTTTCTTTAGCAAAGTATCTTATTTTGATCTCTAGTATCCGAAAATCTAGTATCCTTTGACCTTTGAATAAATATAATAAAGAAATATTCTTACTATTTGAAAAAAAAAAACAAATTATTTTGGATTTATTGATTTTGCTACTTGCTCTTAAGTGGTTTTTGGTAAAATGTGCAAATTTTGGAAATCAAGCAATTTTCAAAGCATATGTGACTGCTGCTTTATTAACTATGCTTCAGCAATTTTTTTTACTAATTTTTAAATTTTGCTCAAATTTCTCAAGGTACAAGTAATTGAGAATAATCGACAGGCTATTATTATTTTTACCTAATGAACAATATTTGAAAATACTTTATATGATATTTAGTATAAAATATTCGTGACAAATCAGCATTATTATAAAAAGTATAGTAAGGATAGAAATATTTTGATGTTGCCAATTATTATTATTGTTTCATTAAAATAGAATTAATTCCTATTTCAACAGTATCTAACTGACAGTGTCTAAAATTAACTAAATTTTTAGAATGATGTTGATTTTTTATGAAAACATTTTTTTATATTAATAACGGGGAGAATGTGACTTTCAAAAACAAATTACGAAGACTATTGCAGAATAAAAATGTTTATTTTTACAAGCTTTTTGGTTTAATTGCGCATGTCTTTAAAAACATCAATTGCTTACGCCAATTAACCAACTTTCAAGATATAATTTTGAATGGGTAAAAAATTGAAATCGCGCATTTTTTATATTTATTTAAATTTTACTTAAACAAAATATCTAATTCATATATTATTTTTCACAATTTCTAGATCAAAGCTAAACTCGCCATTGGCTGACAGACACATCAGGAAATTATAGAAAATTTATTTCAAATTATGATCAACAGGTATTTCAAACTGTGGAAGTGTGATGGAATTTATTTTTAGTAAAAATGATTCAGGTAAAATGGTTGTGTAGAAAATGAAGATTTAAGTATAATTATTAACTTATTATTAATAGTTAATTAATGAACTAGACGAGATTTTTTAAGAAATCAGATGACTTACCTAAAACGAAAAAAATTTTAAAATCATTTTATCACACAAAAAGGTAAGAGCAAACAATGACTTTTATTTGAAGTCAAAAAAGGGAATTTAATTATAACAACGTTTTGTGTAAGTTGTTAAAAATTTTGCCTTGTAATGCATTAGTATTCTATTAAAATTAAAACCCTTCCAGCTTTTAGTACTTATAATTGAAACCATTATGTTCGATAATCGCCCACAAAAAGCTTCCATTACGCCCACATTTGTGTATATGTGATGAGAAACACGTTTTGACGTGTAAATCAGATGAGAAACGCGTTTTGACGTGTAAATCAGACGAGAAATACGTTTTGACGTCTAAATCAGATGAGAAACACGTTTTTTATTTGTAACAAACCATATAAAACAGTTCTGCCATGAATTTTTCAAATTTTCCATAATTTTGAAAACAAATATTGTCCGGTCCATCTAGAAACAAGATTTGAATATTGCTGGTTACGATACATTTCTATTAGGGTAATTTGCACTTATAAAAATAGTATATCATTGTATGGAAATTAAGGTACATAATTTATAAAAAGAACTTCTGGTATCTCTACTTTAGTTGCCAAGTGTGTAGTCCCAAAAAGCATGTTTCTTACGAGTTCCTTCGTTTTTTTTTGTTTCTATGACACGCTTCGTCTAGAATAGAGTCCTAGGATTATCTGTATCTAAATAAGATAGAATCCTAGGATTATCTATAAACTATTGCAAATCAATTGCAGAAATTGTGTTCATCAAAAATATTAATTTTACTTGGACAAATGCACTTTCATATTTCTGCATGACATCGGTCGTCAATGATGTAATATTCATAAATTTTTATTTAGCAATGTACAGAAACATCAACAAGTACATCACACTTTCACAGTCTATTTTTGTTTTCACGTATATATTTTAATTAGTTATTAGAAATCTTGAATTCAGGATACTTTTGTATATGTATAGGTTTTATTGATGTTTTATTTTTATAATTTTATATATATATATATATATATGTATGTATATATATATATATATATATATATATATTTGTTGGCCTACAGTAATATATTTTATTTAAATTAGAAAACTTTAATTTTGTTATATAACATGTGATCACAAATTTATGATGAATATGCTGTGTTTTTTTATAATTTTAAGGGTATAATTTAATTATTGTGAATTAAATCGATTGCTCAATTGATTAATTTCAGGTTAAATTTACTCACAATTTAGCTATTTTTAAATAACTATATTTTTAATTTAATAGTTATTTTACCAATTGAGCAATTCGATTTGCAAGACGATTTCATTTCATTAAAATGTAAAGAAATATTGACTCCTAATTAATTGTAAGAGACCGATTATGCTAAGTAGCTATAGATCTGGTAATGTTTATGTAAATATTTAACACATTTCGGAAACAAGTTATATCCATCATTCACTTATGGCAAAAGTATGGCCAGAAGTGTTTTGATGAGAATAATTTATTTGCGAAATTCAACAAACAATTTTATTTCGTCAAAACTTGGATGAATGCTGATTTAGACATGAAGATATATTTAAAAATTTTTAAAATAAAAATTCTAAAGAGTTATTATGGATTCGTAAATTAACACTTGCCAGGATATTTATTTGAATCAAGGAACTATTTATTATACTACCTTTTAGTAAGGAAAAGGTTTATTCTGTAGCATTTATATACGGAAATTAAATATTGTCGCTTTTTAGAGTTTTTGTACTCTGTATTAATATTTATTAATTTGCAAAAAGATTTGTTTTTAAAAACAACTGTTTAAATATGACTTTTAGTCATTACAATTATTTAGTTCTTTAGTATTATTAGATATTACAAAAAGATAATACTTACATAATATGAGGCCGGCCGGTGGTGGTTTCAATATTTTTGCTTTTTTAGAATTTGATCGGTAAAAACTTACTAACAAATTTAATAAATTTTTAATTAAAAATAATCAAAGTATATATTAACATATTCAAATACTTACTCAATTTACAAACTTCCAGGACGGTTGTGACAGGCATACAAAACCACATGGCTTATGAATATAATATAACAATATATAAAAGAACACAATTTTATTTAGCAAAGTTAACAAGAAATAAAATGCGATTCATTTACTTCCCTTCTCATAATTGATAGGTTAGCATCACGACTAGTGTTATTATAATAGTCTTCTTCAAAATCAGACATAATGCTATCTAAAAATTCAGAAACTTATCCGTCAGACTAATGCAACAACTATGTCAATGTACTAGAATCTATTCATTTACATTCGAAAAAAGTAATTATTCACACATTTACCATGGTGAAAAATTTAATCACCTGCTCATTTTATGTAGAACCAGAAATCGTATGTTCCTTGAAACTTGATCAATTTTACGCCACCCCTACTTTCAGAATATGAACTTCCACAAACCAAACAGAAAGTCATCGGATGATGATTTTGTTTGTGAAATCTTTCTATTCTTATATTGTTTCTCTCATGTACTTTTACTTTAACTTTAGAAATTAAATTAATAATAATGCATTTGCATCATTTTTCAATATTTATAATTAATATTATCCCATTACAATAAGTTTTGAGTATGCAATTGCAACTAACAAATCCCGTATAAGAAAACAAAAAAAAATATAATTATCATTTTTATTAAATTATAGCTAACTAAATTGGAATATTGAGTTGCTTTTCATGTAATATGATTAATAATTGGTTACATCTCGAGCAAGATTGTTTTAAAATTACGTAATATTTCGTGATTTTTTACAATAACATTATACATGTGGTTTTCCTCATTATATCTAGAAAAATTAATATGCATATAGCATTGTTGCCGGTTGTATTTATTCTTGGCAAATTATTATTGATTTAAATCAAACTAATTAAAATTACTATATGCTAAGGAATATTTTACTGTGTTTATTTATATATAATGCTACAGAATAGACTTTTTTATTAATAAGAGGAGAAAAATATTTTATTTTGTATAAAAAGCATTTGAAAACTGTGAGATGAGCGGTTATGTTACTAAGTTTGATATGTTTTTATGTTTTGAAAAATGTTGAAATCTTATAGAAAAAAAATACATTTTTGTTTTTGTTAATTAAGCTCTCTGGCACTTCTGGTTTACCCCACGATTTTCATTTGCCTTTTATAAAATTATTTAATTATATATTTTTCAATAATCAAAATATATTTCTTTTACCTTAATATAGAAAAATTCAGCTCTCTTTGGATTGATCTGTTGTGTTATTATTAATATATTAATTGTTAACTTATATTCAATCTAAAAACCTAATTGAGTAATATTGATGTATAATTTTTGGCTTTTCAAAACGAATTCTTATAGAGGGAGGGATAATTTATTTATTAAGTAAGAGTAGAATTAATATAAAAATTAATTTAGTGATGATATAACAATGTTATGATAAGAAACGCCTGATATATTACGACTTGATAATTGTATTCAGTGCCTGAAACATTTATTTATAAACTCTTTCGTTTTTTGTATATTGTTGTATGCACTACAACCTTGAATAAATTCTATTGCGTAACTGCCACAATATGTTTTTATGATGAATTGCATTAAAAATTGGCATTGAATATTTGTGACGATCCAGATTTAGGTAACTCATTAAATGAATATTTATTAATATATTTTAACAGCGATGTAAATTGTTTTTTCTTCGAGTTGAGTTTGCTGACGTCCATCCTAACCAAGTATATTTCTTGAGTGGACAAACCAGCGGTTAACTACTCTTCTAAAATGACTTTTAGTTCTGATTATAATTGAGATCTACAACCTCAAATAAATAAAAAATCAACCGGCCGAGGTTGGAATTTTACCATCATGACTGACTCTAACAATTTTTTATCCGTTCATTTGCTTCATTCTGATCTGGTTGTGGGTTCGGTCTCACCTCTGACAATTTTATATCAAGCAGGAGGTTTTCACTTGATCTACATGCATATATGATTTCAAGTGAAAACAGCCTTTTGGGGACATTTATGCAATATATTTTTACACCATCATTTATCTAATATATGTATTTGATTATATATATTCAGAATCAGAACAATGGTCAACCAGTAGGTTGTCTTCTAGAAACTTTGTGGCAAATTATTATTTCAATATTTAGCAACTCATTTAGAGAACATTTATTTATTTATTTTTTTTGTTATTTTTTTAACAGCAATGTAAATTATCTTTTTTATGATATGTGTTTGCTAACGTCCATTCTAACCAAGTATGTTTCTTAAGTGGACAACACAGCGGTCATCTACTCTTCTTTAAAACGATTTTAACTTTAGATTATATTTGAAATATATAACTTCAGATGGCAAAAAACTCAACTGGCCGAGGTTGGAATCTATTTAGAACTAGTTTCCAGGTTTTTAACCATCACACCACGACCAACTCAAACAATTTTTTATCAGTGAGATGTATTTGTTCATTTGATTCATCATGAGCCAGACCTGGGTTCAATCTCACCTTGGACAATCTGATATCGAGCAGCAGTTTTCACCTAATCTACATTTAAATATATAATTTCAAGTGAAAATAGCATTTTGGGGACATTGCTGCAATATATAATTACATCACTATTTACTAATATATTAGATTATATATAATCACTAACAGAAAGAAGATGGTCAACCACTGGGTTGTCTTCCAGAATATTATATTAAGGAATTTACATCACTACAGTTCATATAATTCAGGATTCAAATCTGATTGTTCTTCAAACAAAAAAAATGGATTTTAGATTCTGGTAACTTGTTAGTCTACTTTAAAGGGCTAATTTAGTTCAGTGAGTTAGTAATTTTTTATTCACAAGATCATCTATCTACATCAAATTAATCAGTTGTGGTAACACAAATTGGTTATGACTGACATGAACTGTGATGGATGTGTATACTCGTCAGGGAGTAAAGCCAAAACTTTGTGTATTGACGAGTAAACTCGCCAGTCGTCTAAATCAGTGAAAATTCACTATTTGAATCGCAACTTAAGAAAATATAAAAAGTTTGAGATGATTTCAATCGTTATGGTTGCATTGGTTGATAAACTTTACTAGATAGCCTAAGAATTCATTCATGTGCAACCAAAAAGTATGAATCTGCAGGAACTGCATTGGCAAGGAACTATCAGAAACAATACTCTGTTACGCTGAATATTACACCACAGAAAAAGTTTGAACTCTTTTTATATGTATAATACTACTGAATTTATAGCGTTTTTAGATTAATACGTGTATACCATATGCTTGTGTTGGACAAAGAAGTAAGTATTAGTAATTAAATTTTCAATTTTATATAATAAAATCATCTTTTTCATCCAATATTTTACTAGCGCAACTCAGCTTGTAGTTGACGATTATGATCGTCATGGCTCGATTCTGACGGAACAAAACTCTTTGCACTTTTAAATGAAGTCCACAGTTAACTGGTCAATTGTTTTGCCTAAAGAACAATGTCTTAGTCTACGTCCAGTGATCCAGTTCTTCATGGTGATGATTGTGCAAATACAGGACAATAAGGTAAAATGAATTTATTACTTATTAGTAAACTTAAAGTATGTCATAAGGAATTATATATTTAATTCTTCTGTCATGATCAAATTCTTTGCTAAGATGTTAATTATAATGATTAGATCAGCCTGTTCTTATACTTCTGACTATGCCTAATTTTCTTGTTTTTGATCAAAGATAACAATGATTTGCAAGAACTTTAAAACAATTTACACTGACGTTTTTTTAATTTAGCATCGGATTTTTAGATCAATGTGTATAAATATATGTAAAATCTAATATGCAATAGATTATAATATGTTTTTCGTGACCATGTACAATTAAAGTTAAAGCTATACTGATGATGCTATAAATCATTGTTTCGTGGCGTTTGCAACTTTAACATCATT